CCCCAAAACCCCAAAACCCCGAGGGCAGTATTTTCAATCAGAAAGGGTTTGAAGAAATTAAATTTGTATTTAAGAAGAAATTTTGCTCGTTATTTGTACTATAATTTGAATAATTTAAATAGTGTTTGCAAAATGAGTTTAGCTAGTTCGCAAAGCACAGAAGATATACATCTTCTAAATATACCATCTAATTCTTCACAGCAGAACCTTGCAAGGTCGCGCTCAGGGTCCTGTAGTAATATTGGCCCTGCCAATAATTCAAGTACTGGAGGTAAAAGTGAAAACATCCAGGTGTTTTTGAGAATGCGACCTTTGAATGAACGAGAGAAAAATGAGGATCACATGTCACAAAATGCATGGCGTATTATGGACAACGCAATAGTATTAGAGCAAAATGTGTTTAATCAGCCATATCCTAGCATTGGAAATGGTAATGGTTAGAAAATCACTTCATATATCTCAGCAGCTTATAGCAACATAGTGAGTAGCAGCTAATCAAAAGCCTACACTTTCAGTATAAAATTGAATTTAATAATTTGTATCTTATAGATAAATGCTTCGAAGATGTTTCATCAAATGAAAATGTCTACAATTAGGCTTGCAAAGATATAGTTTAGAGCTCATTAGAAGGCATAAACGGTACTATTTTTATGTATGGGTAAACAGGAGCTGGAAAGACTTTCACAATGCTTGGAGATCATTACCAGCAAGAAATTAGAGAGTAGGCGGCCTAACATTTAAATCAGTTAAAAAGAAATGGATCCACCAAAGGAAATGGGAACAAAACCCCTTTGAAAGGTTCATTTAATCAATGCTCCAGTAATTCCAATTTCACTAGTACTGTCAATAATTAGGATTCATAAAGAGACACTTAAGTTTCGCCAATTTCAAATAACAAAACAGGATCACAAACCTAAAACATAACACCGTTAAGAAAAGGTGCCATTGTAGGGGCAACTGGCACAAATTAAACCAATCATAGATAAACTCTTAGTTAGATTGGAGCAGTAGCTGGAAGATCATCCCAACAGTAAACTGAAACACCAAGACATCTTAAAAATAGCGCAAATAGCAAGAATCTATTGAACTCCAAAATTCCGATTCCATTGTATAAGCAGCAATCTTAATAATAACCCAAGACTAGAAATGTAGGGTAATATAACAAGCTGACAGGAACTTAACTATTTTAAACGAATCTAACAGTCAGCAATATCTCTGAGTTTGGTGGTAACTCAATGATAACCGATGGATTAAACAATTAATACGATTAGCATCATGTTTCATCAAATGTTCTAATGTCTCTATAATTTCCTAATAATCTAGCCTCAAGCATGCATACAGATAGAGGAGAGTATAACAACTATGTTCAAAGTGATGACAATGATGATTTTCAATTATTTGCCTAAAAAAGCTTAAGTTCTGCTAGAAACCTAAATCCTAAAAGATAGGGTAAATCAGAGGGTATTTTGATTCAATCTCTCAAAGAATTATTCAACATAATTAGAAATGAATCCCTTCCTACAAGAAGAACTCCTACTCCAAATGAGGATGGAGGCAAAAGTCAAACTGGATCATTTATTGATGTTAAAAGACCCCAGAAGGTTTATATTACTAGATGCTCATATTTTGAAATTTACAATGATGCTGTTTATGATTTACTCAATGACTAAAATGATGAAAGCTTTCATGAGCCTTTAATTCTTTAAGAAGATATCAAGGTATTAAATATCAACTTACATTAATTTTTAGAGAAAGGAATTCGTAGTAAAAGGATTGAGAGAGCATGTTGTCTAATCATTAGAGGATTGCTTAGCCTTACTTAGATTAGGTGAGGTAAACAGACATTATGCAGAAACTAAAATGAATCACTAGAGTTCTCGTAGTCATACCTTATTTAGATTGCATGTTGAATCAGTAGCCTGCAATGGAGATCTAAACAATGACGCAAATGTCATAACTGAGTCTGTTTTGGTAATAACATATATTATAACCAATATCTTATTAGAATTTCGTTGATCTTGCTGGTAGTGAGAAAGTTTCAAATCATTAACATAAAGATTCATCTGCATCATCAAACTCGCAGACAAGAAAAGACTCATCTCAAATGAGAGTTAAAGAGGGATAGCATATTAATAGATCTCTATTTTTCTTGACTCAGGTAATAGCTCTTAAAGCAGAAGGAAAGAAAAATGAACAGCATATTCCTTATAGAAATTCCCCTCTAACTAAAATACTTAGATCATCTCTGGGAGGCAACTCAAGGACAGCTATTATTTTATGTATCACTCCTGCTGCAAATTAATTAGAGCAAACTTTTAGCACTTTGAGATTTGGTCAGAACGCTAAAATGATTCAGAATAAAGTAGTAGCAAACGTGGTTAAGAAGACGTCAATGGAAGATGAAGCTGAACTAAAAAATCTTCTTAATGAATATGAGAAAAGATTGGGTGAAATATAGAAAGATAATGAACATAATAATAATAAATTGTAGCAAGTCATAGAGAGTCTTTTAAAAGAAAAAGATGAGTTAAATTAAAGACTCATAAGAGCTAATAATAAAAAACTATAAAACATTATTGACGAAAAAGCTAGATAAGATAAGCAAACTGAAGAGAATCAGAATCTAAAGCAAGAATAGCTTAATGTTAAATCTCTTTACCTTTATGATTGTGGAATTCTCAATTCATATTACGCTATCGATAATTTCGTTAGTAGAGACAGCTCTGAACACAATGTAGATAAAAAGCCTTCTGATATCTTCCATATTGATTATGTGATTCAGCTTAATGACAAACTTGATAATCAAAATGCTAAGCTCTTTATGAATACGCTTAGAACAGCCAAGAAAGATAACAGAGAATTGAGAAAATAGCTTCAAGATCAAGAGGAACAATATGAATCATTGATGAAGTAAAATGATTAACTCAATTCTGAGATCATGAAGCTTAGGTAGTTAATGAGCTAGTAATAAGATGTATTAGAAAAGTAGGTTTAGGAGAAGGATGAATTAATAAAAAAATATGATTATCTTTAAAAGACCAGATATCATATAGAACATAATACATTGTAACTCGATCAAAGAATCATACTTGATATTGAACAAATTTTATACAGAGGCATTTAAATGATAAATATGGAAAAAGGGAAAAGAGAAATGCTAAAGTTGATGAATTAGCAATAGCTGAGTTAAATGAGCGGAAATGAACTTCTTAAGAGCTAAATGCCAAGTGAGGTATAACTTAATTACTAAAAGTCTGAGTTCATGCACTTTGATGATTTAGAAGAGAATTTCTTAACTAGGATTTATAGCAAAAAATTAGATTTTAATGAGCAAGAAAGTCATCTCCAGCAGGAAAAGATTACTTAATCAGAGAGCCAATAAAATGAATTCTAATCAACATTATAAATCAATCACAACTGTGAAGTCTAATCAAGTGATGAAGACTCAGTCATCGCCTACAGTTAAGCTACTACAACTAAAAAGAGAAAATTGAGAAATACTCATTCAACACCAAATAAAACACCAATGAATGATATTGATGAGTCTTATAACAATAATCTTAGTAAATAAAGTTCCTCCCAGTAAAACTAAAACTATAGAGATTTTACAGAGTCTAAAGATATTTCACAAATTACAGCTATTAATAATTAGATTCAAGATAACTAGTATATGACTGTAATTTCATAAAGTCAAAGAGTTTCATAGCAGCAGTCAATTTAAAAGAGTATTATTAATAATGAGAGGGAGTATGTTAGCTAAAGTCCTATAAATTTAAAGCAAATTAACATGAATCAAATCAATAAAATAGCATCAACTTAGAGCATAACATTAGAAGATGAGGATACTCTAGATGAAAAGACTAAGTTACAAGAGAAATGCTAAATATTTTAAAGATAAATAAACAACTTCAAAATTGACAAGACATAAAAAGAGAATTCTCCTTAGAGAACTCCAACAAGGTCTTCAATAAATAGTGTCAACATGAGCATCAAGTACAATCATCATCAATAGCTTAAAACTCCAACTCAAATGAAAATACAATCTGACATACCATAGACTATTCATAATCTAAACTTAGACAATGATCTTGGAGATAACTTAAGATACATGATTAACAATTAAGGAAGTATGACTACTAAAGCTTAGTAGGTTCATAATACAGATCTGAATTCAATTATCAATATGAATGCTATGGCAATAAATAACAAATTGATAGATGAGTACAATATTTAGATGATGAAATTATCTCTCCAAGCCTAGAATATGTAGAGTTTAAATGCAACTTTGGGATAAAACTAATAATATGTTAATTAAAGCTCTTTTGGAAGAAATCAAGGTAGCCTAAGAATGAATCATACTGATATTGGTGCGTTGGCTAGCAATAACACGCTGATGATGAATTCTTAAGGAAGTTTTAGTAATAATCAAAAGAAGAGTATTGCGAATGTGAACCGATCAAAATATCTCTCCAAAGATACTTATAACTAATAGTATCTTGATGATACTAGAAGACAAGGAGATAATAACTAATATCAGCAGCAACAACACTAGTAGTAGTAATATTTACCCAATAGGTCTTCAAGGTTACTCTGATATGATTTAAGAATATATTCTGAATTAAAAGTATTAAATTAAAAAGCAATATGATTAATAATATTATTTAAGGTAATAACTTATTAAGTTGAAGTTGTTTCGTCGTAAAAATGGAAAGAGATGAGCGTTCATTTTAAACAGAATCAGATGTCAGTATAGCTTCAAGCTAATATGATGGTGGAAAAGATATCAATGATTCAAAGTATAAGCCGACTATTCCAATAGAATTCAAATTCAAATAGCCAGAATTACAATAAAGATTCATGAAATTAATAAAAACTCAAAAGTAAGTGAATCCCCAAAATCTAACCATAATTAAATTAGGATGGTTTTAAGAGAAAGATTGAAAATAGGAGACCTTATTTATGTTTTGACAACTTAATTGAAACTACCAAGATTCATTAAATTGAATCTAAGCTTCTAACTTGAAGGAATGAAGTTTCCTATAAGTTTTCCAAAATGTAAAATCAAATTATAAATAAAGTAAATATAGCCAAGCGAATGTATAAAGTATCAAAACATTTGGAGTAATTGTCTAAAGCTAGAGAATAAATTGCCCATGATACAGCAAATAGAGATTCGTCCTCAGTAGAATAGGTCATATATGTGATCATTGAAGCAGAAAAAAGAAAAGGATATGAAAACGAAAAAATTGACCAAACTGAGTGCTGCGATTAACAATGAACATTTAAAATCCTAGCTGTTTTACCAAATGAGGAAAATTATGCTTCAACTTAGTGTTAGGTTTATATACCAGTAAAATTATTTGATTGTACTTGAATATTAAATAAGTGATTCTCAAAAATTTTTGAGGATTGATTTGATGGGGTTTTGGGGTTTTGGGGTTTTGGGGTTTTGGGG